TCGATTTTCACGATAGAGCTATAGTTCCTTGGGCAAAGTTTCTTAAAACGACCCGTAGAACACCGCTAGGATAGGTAAAACATCGATTTTTTTTGCTCCCTACAATTTGACCCGCCCTAATATATATGTACAAACAAGAAGAAGAGCAACATGACCGAGACGATGAACAGAGAAGAGATAATGAAATGTTATAACTTGCTGAAGAATCTGGTGATCAAAAGTATATTTTCCCTTTATTTCAGTAGATTTATCAATTTTACAGAATCAGTTATCTCAGTTTGAATATGTGCCACTAATTTATTGATGACACGATAAATTAAAAGTTTTAAAAGGCAAATTTTGGCTTATATACTAGACGTATGACAGATACGTAGACATTTCAAAATATTGGAACTTTGTTGTCCAGTTTCCATTTCTATACTTTGTTGTGATGCGTCTTTCAAGTCTTCTTTTGGTATTGTTAATCAGCGAAATAGACGAACAAAAGAATAAATGAAATATTATAATGAGTGCCTGAATACTGGTTTCAAATGAGAGTACGCAACATAACGACGTATACAATAAATATTTTGAACAAATAACAACAAAAGAGATAAAGAAATATATGGAGTTGTGAGATATACTAGTGATGGCATCGTTCATTATTACACGAGAATCGAATGTACAAAAATTGACATTTATATTCTGATATGGATTGTCATCGAAGAATTTAAATATTGCGTTGGATAAAATTTGCTTCATTATTGTACTATTTGTGTTATAAAACGTCATTGAAAGTGATATTTAATGCATCAAATTATATTATAATGCAATAACAAATTTAATTCGATTCAAATGACACCACATCAGCTTAAATAAACAATTAACAAAGTTTTATTAGAAAATGTTGACGAAATAGTTTCTCGAGAAGACATAGCGAAAAATTTATATTATACGCTTCGTTAATTGCAAACTACAACTGAGAATAAGATGATTTCTAACACTTGTTTTCTCTGTTTTGTAAATCTAAAATCAGTACACATAGAAAAATTTACTTACATTCTCGTAAACGTTTTTTTGCTTTCATTCGTCGATTTTGAAACCAAATTTTAACTTGTGTTTCATTTAGACCTAATGTTGCTGCTATTTCAATTCGTCTTGCACGTGTTAAATATCGACTAAAATGAAATTCTTTTTCTAATTCTGTTAATTGTTTATTCGTAAAATTTGTTCGTCCAGTATTTGAATTAAGATTATTAATGATATTTGGTGTTTGATAATTATAGTCAGTTGGTTTACCTAGAAAGAAAAATGATCTGGTCTCTTATTAAGTCAAAATTATTAAAATTTTCAACTTGTCGACACTTTATTTTCTTAATTCGCGGACATATTCAGATATATGCCATAAAAAACATACATTCCTAATTAATGATGTAAATAAGAAGTTGAAATTGAAAGAGTATCGATTCCTAATTATGTGATAAAAAATATGCAACAGCTACGTAGATTATTTGATTAGCTTTCTAAAATTATATAGTTTTTAAAGCAGGTTGAGATCTTTTAGTACTTGTATGTTGCTCAGTTTAATTACACAAAAAATTATTAACTTACAAATGACTTATTATTCATAATACAAATGTATTCATTTGTCTAAACAACGAGAAAGTTAGCCATATTTGTTATTTTTAGGATATCGTTATTTACAGGATAGAATTCGTGATAATCACATCTATTGGCGTTGTAACAGCCATTCACGTTGCACTGGTCATGCAGTTCAGAAAGGTTCCGAAGTGCTACCAATCGTTTCAACAGAACACAACCATCAACCCAATTACAAACGGAATGAACGTATAGAATTTCGCAGAAATTTAAAAAAGACGTATACTGAAGAACCTGCATCAGTCAGAAAAGTATTTCGTTCGGAATTAGTGAAGATTCAAACACCTCATCCAATTAACGTATCATCATTGCCACAATGACGCGGTGTCATACAAAAAATGAAAAATATTCAACTTTACATCTATTTCAACGTATGACTGCACCAGCTTTTATTCTTTTAAAAAAATAGACGAATTATGGTGCAATATAATGGATTGTTACTGGAATGTTACTGAAATATGGATAGACAACGACAAGGTAATGTTTAAAAAGCAACAATATCAGCAATCCCACGGAAAAAATTATGTGTTAATAGAAATGCTCGTATCCTTGATTTAATGAACCGTTATGACAATGAAATATTACCTTTCAATCATAACGGTGAGAAATTTGATTAAAATAAGTGAGTGAGAGAGACTATTGGGCCATAAGAATAAAAATGAGGGTATAGATTTTTGTGTACATTTTTGTATTATTTCTATTATTTTTTATTATTTTTATTATTATAAGTATTATTTCTTCATTTTTATTTTACTGATTAGAAATACACTCTTTGTGACGAGTTAGGACAATTATTATTGAGATATTGACTAATCGAAACGATAAGAAGGAAAATACGTTTGAAGCATTCAAATGCGCAAAATCTTCCTTTTTTTTCAATATCTCAATAGTGACAAAATTATGATCTGATCCTATACGTTATATTTTATTTCACTTTTCTCTTCAGAGAATATTTTTTAAATTTATTTTAGACACGTACGTAAAACTCCGTTAAAATTACAAAATGGCAGATTTTTTAAAAATCATCAGTACTATTCTAACAAGTTTTTTCCTGTGAACTTCACTATTCTTACATATTTTTCCATTTAGCTTTCTCAACTGCAATTTTCAGTTTCATTTGGCTATTGAACGTAGAGTAGCATACAAACTTCTTATATCAATTTGTTGTCCTTATCTCTTAGATGCTCACCGCATGTTTGATAGAGTTGTTTTTGTATTGTTTGAAGTACTTATCACAATATTGGATCATCAAAAAGCATATAATTTTGAATATTAAACAATAAGAACATCTTCTAATCATATCATTGGACAACATCTTGTAGCGTTTCTTTCTCCTTCTGCCTCTCTCTCTCTCTCTTTCTCGCTACAATAAAAATAAATTGAAAACTATATCGCACTATATTGACGATGACAGATGATGAGCACATTGTACATTGTTTATTTTTTCACTTTCGTTAATGATTAAGAGAGATAAATATTATAAAAAACAATCATCACCAAAGCCTAACTGATAAAACTATTGTATCTATAATATCTTATAAATATTAGTCCATAATCACAAACGTATCTACTACTGCTCTTCTAGTAATTGTTGTCTAGATACAAGTTTTCTATTAAAAGCACATCACACCACAGACTCAAAAATATATTAGGTCTGCCTCAATGAAATAAACTAAAATAGCTGATTTTGATTGGCTATGATATTTCATTAGAAATGAAAGTACCTTATTCAATTTACAATGTAACAGATATATATACGATTTTCATAGGTGTAAGACTATGCTAAGAAATGCTACTATGTTGCTGTGTTCATATTTAGAGTCCAATAGATTAGCTATGATAAATATAGATGTTCAAATGAACACCAAAAATTGTATTATTGGATGCACAATAATTTCGATAAAATATTCATAAACTGTCATATGTATGTGTGTATATCTAACGTAATCTAATTTCTCAACGGTTTTCAATGTATACATGAACATGTAATTTATCTTTGTCAATTTTTTTATCATTGTGTTCGAATAAGAAAAAAAAAGAAAAATCTGATCTAGTTTTGACATTGTGTCTATTTGTATAGGAAATATTTTTCTATTCTTTTTATTTTTTATGTGAGAGCATTTGCGTGAGAAAGATGTTAGAATTTATTGAAACTCAATCCATCTTCTTATGAGTATGAGACAAAGTAGCCGACAATTTTTCTTTTTTTATTGGATGAAAAAGAAAATCTTCTAGTAAATGAAATAGTTTATGATCATCAACCAGTAAAATGAGAGCATTCAATGAAGTCTACATTTATTTTAGATACTTCATTTTTTTATCGTCAAATACTGTTTTCAGTTTCATCTATACTTTAGTTTTATTTAACATTTATATTTAGATATTTTTTTACATGCTTTACATCGTTTCTCATGTAGAGAGTGAGACGAAAACACTTGTGCATTTGATTCTTTTTGTTATTCAAAATAAAAATAAAAATTAGATCGAATCTTTCTAGTATAAACACAACATACCATTCCTTCTATTTTGTTCTGTTTAAAAAAATATACTATTATCTGATATATGTATCTGTCTGACTGTTCGCTATACTTGATTTCAGACGTTGATCTATTTTGTTTTAATTATACATACGCACTATAGCAAAACATTCTTAGTTTAATTGGCTAGTAACAGATACTATTGAATGACAAGAAATTCTAGGCATGAAAGATCTAATCTCACTCACCTGCATTACTCTCATAAACTACAAACAAACGAACAGTGCTATGGTGAAGAAAAAAAGTAGGTTTAGTAAAAGTTTTTTGAGAGTAGACGGTAGAAAGTTTTGGAAGAATATTTCTCGTTGTTACTACTACTGTAATCTAGACTTCATCCTCAAAAAAAATCGGGAGAAAGTCTTTTGATTAGGCAAAATCAAAAAGCAGTTACAGTGTACAACACAACTATCGCCATGAGACTGAAAGTAGTGCATTGGCTTATCGATTCATCATTTTTTTAAGAATAAGAAAGTACTTTTTCTCTCATAGAATTCGCAAGATTAATCATAATTTTGTTGCCGATTATTATTCTAAAATCATTTGGTGCTTTGAAGTTTGAATTGAAAAACGTCTCTCTCTCTCTCTCTTTAAAGTCATTTTTTGTACACATTATTAACAACATTTCTGATAAAAGAAAATCTTCCAGTTCTATGCTTTATTCAGTTAAATTTTATTTACCTGCTGTTTTAGCTGGATTTCGTTTGACTTGCATCCATTTATATCGTGTTTCACTAATATGTTGTTGTAATGCTATTTGATTTGAACTTGATCTCTCTCTTGCTGGTTGTTGTGTCACATAATGATTATTGTGCGTTGACGATGACGATGATGATAAAGAATCAGAACTATGATTATCTTTAATATTCAAATTATTTGTATCAGTAATATTATAAACTTTTGGCGTATTAATATAATTATCACAAGTTGTGGCTGTTGTTGTTGAATAACTGTATTGTTGTTCAAATGATTGTACAGGATAATTGGATTCGGTAGATGTTAACCATGATGAATTAGGAGTAGTATCGATAGAAAATTGATTATAACGATTTGCTGTTGTATTAGGATAATCATTATAATAAATAGTAGTTTGATCATCAATTAATGATGATGAAGTTTTTATAGCTACTGTTGCTGTTGATGTCGATGGTGAATAATAATTATCATTTGTTGAACAATTAATATCAGTATCACTTGATAAATATGGATAATCTGATGAATTGTACAAAATATTATTTGTTGTACATGACTGATCTTTTTGTCTCAATTTTGTTTCATCTGGTGTTAAATATAGAACTTTGTTACAAAAATAAATATTGTCTGACGATGGTGAAGATGCATTGATAACTGGCGAAGATTTAAAACATTTTTGAGGATATATACAATCATAATTTTCGTCTAGTGAATAATTTGTATTTTCAATAGAGAGCGATGTTTTACTTGTGCAAGTAGCATATTCTTCATGATGTTGATGTGAAATGGTTGATGACGATGTGAGTGGATGATTTTGTAGTATTTGTTCTTGATGCGAATGATTAACATGATGTTGTTGTTGTCGAGTTATAGAATTATTTACAATATGATTATTATTAATATGAATAGATCGATTCATCAAGATAGACAACAAATAAATTTATCTATATATGATGGACTAAACGGAGCTTTAACAAGACAAGGACATTCAATATACTCATCAATCTAAATATAAAGAAAAAAAAAATAAAAGTACAAATAGATTTTTTTTCAACAATAGAAGAGAGGAGGTTTTTGTACTGTATTACTTCACAATGCTGAAATAGGAGATCGATCATAATAAATAAAGTAAAAAAAAAGAAGAGAAACAATATGCCAGTCTCAGCAACAAGGAAATGAGGAACAAAAAAAAAAAGAAGTATACTTGTGCTTCCATTTTTGACTCTTTATTTTTTCCTATTGATTCAAAGAAATGATCAATCATAATAAACGAAATGATGAATTAGATAGCTAAAAGAGAGAGAGAGAGAGAGAGAGAGAGAGAAATTATGATATGATGATGTGTAGAACTGTCATATAAATTATAAATAGTAGTTGCATTCATACAGACAAAAAAAAAGAACGCTAAAAAAAAATGAATAAAGGATATTTGTATATGAGAAGTGATAGGTAGTGACATTTAATTAGAATTTTCTCTTTGGCTGAACAATCGAATGAAGAAGAAAACAAAAATCTGATTGGTGTGTTTTCTTTTCTCTCGTCAAATATGATTTGTAGTTGTCATGTCTGCTCAATTTTATGTACACTCGTCCTTTTATCCCCTATTGAAATGAGATTGTTTCACATTATCTAACCTAAAGAAGAGAAATCTAGTGCAATATTGGTGAATTAGAATGCTTTTTGCTTTTAGTTTAAAATATCTATGATAAACTTTTCCAAAATTTTTTAAGAAAAATGTAGAGGTGTGCAGCTGAGCGAAGAAAAATGTTTTTTTCAATCTTTTGTCTGATATCTATTTCAAAAATGAACCGAACCGTTGCATCACTATAGACTCTCTCTATCTAGTATAGAATGGAGAACTAGTAAACTTATATGAAAAATAATTTTTAATTAAATATGCAGAATATTAACACAAAATTGTAATATTCTCTATTCAATACTAGAGCATTCTTGCAACTTTTTTTAAAGTATTATACGAAAGTTTATGTACATACATGTTTTTAAAATTTTTTGAGATATAACATAATCGGATGAATAGAATTCTCCATACTTATTAAAAATTAAAAAGAGCATTCAAATTTTTTAACTATGCTTATCTACGTGCACTTTACCATAGAAATACGTGCCCACAAACTGTTGAATCATATTGTTAATGATGTAAAATGAGCACATTTTAATAAAGAACTGCCGTTATTTGACATCTGTACGTATCAAAAACCTAAACTTTTAGTTAGCACCAACTAATAGGCTTATTGACAAGCTTTATTTTTATCTCTCGATCATCACCGCCACATATATCCTAAAAATAGTTAACTATTCTCTTTGTTGAGGGAAAAAAGTAATGTACCATACTTTTATATTACATTGCATTATTAGATCTGTATCTCTCTCTATTCATCTATCTATAGCCAGTGTGTATACGTCAAAAAAGAAAAGAAATGATTGATCGTTTTGAAATTAAATCTGTACACTACAGTGTACATGTTTTTTGTGGAAAATGCGTAGGTCACTATACACTAATCACCTACAGAGGGAAAGTAAGGTGATTGTTTCGATCTTTGTACAAGAAAAGTGTGATATAGGATTCATAACTCTCTTTTATTCCAAATTACTTGTCTCATGAACAGAAATGTACAGGATGATCGATTCTTGTGTGTCTTATAAAAAGGTTTTGATTACTTAGACAAGCTCTGTGATTCTGGTGCACATGTACTATCCTGCCCTGACGCATCTTTAAGCAAATTCTAAAAATCGGTTAAAATTAACTTATTTATTCTTCATCTGTAAACAAACTAAATTTTTAGTTAAAAATTTTGTCCCTAAATCTCTCCTCTTCTTCACCGTTGAAGACCTTGCACTATCTTTACAGCGTACATTCTCGCAGACCCAAGAAATTTAAATTAATCGTTCTCAGTTTTTACTGAATAATAGTAGAAGTAGCTGAGCAGGCTAGTGATTTTTATAATAACTAACAACTTTTCATCTTTGTTAAAACAATGAAGAAAATTCAAACTATAAAATTTGCTCAAAAATCGATTAAAACGTCAATTATTGTTTGTTGTTGGCAAACGTAATGAATTCAAGCGCATATCAGTCACAAAATCAGCATTCTCGTGGCTGGCTACGCATTAAGGAAAAAAGTCAGCCAAGATGACCTTAAACTTGAAGAGAATAAATTATTTTTTAACCTATGAAAGTTTCAGAAAAATATTAGTTTTGAAAGATATCTTTTAAAAAGGGATTTTTTTTTCATTTTCAAAGCATTTATTTCTCGTTAATAATGTTTTCTTCCACTTAGATAGACGATAATTATCGATGAAAAAATTAAATTCGAAAGAAAATTTTGATGTTTGCCTGCTAAGCTGGAAATCATACTATGTTTGCATCATATATGTTGCGCCTCAGATTAAGACACGGTTAGCATGCATATTTCTATTCATGAGATTTGTTATTTTACGAAAAAAAACACAACAATAACTTTTTGATGATCTTATTCTTCTGTCGTGTACAACAAAATTTTCAATAATGAAGTCTATCTGTTCCATATTTTTCATCTTCATAAAATACCAAAAAAACTGAGAGAAAAAGCGATGCCGACAGGATATAGAACGCAATAGATGTCAAAATATTAGTGTATAGTGAGTGTATGTACATAGAAAGATAATGGATGTGATGAAAACATAAAGAGACTTTCTCTTTTTCAAGTTAACGATAAAAATATTCCAAAACTTCATTTAAACACTCCCGATAGACGCGTGAGAATGAATATTAAGTGACCGCACAAATATCATCAGTTATTATAGAGAATGCAGCACAGATTGTTAATTACGGCAGAAAGTCACAAATCTAAATGATATTAATTCCTATAGATTTCCTACAGATAATGAACCTCTTCTACCAGAGGCAATCATGTCACACATTTTGTAGTTAAACCGATTAGAATTAGTTGTATTTTGATTCAATTGACTATAGATAAATATTTTTTTGTTTTTCATTCAATTAAAGTGTATGTAACACCTCGTCAATCTCGTTTTGACTTCTGAAACCGATTAACAAGAAAACAACGGTGTTTTACTTTTGCGTTACATGCCAAAAGCAAAATTCTTTCGTATGGAAATAGATGAGATCAATTGTCTCATACTCATCTAAATATACACACTGATGCAGAGATCTGATAAACTAAAATCATCATGCAGAACAACTTTTTTCAATTAGAAAAAAAATTAATATTGGTGTGACCTTTTTATATAGACGATTATCACATCTTGCTTCATTTTGGAAGTAAAATACTCTTAGGAGATAGGCGCAAATCCTACATGTGATGATGAAATGTAGGAGGGAACAATATTTTTGATCTAATGCGATTATGCAAATTGTCATACTTTTCTAGTAATCTAAAGACATTCTCACGCCCAGACTATATTGGCATAACAAAAAAATCATCAGAAGTTAATCTATTCGATTAATTCGATCACATTTTGTGTGTGTATTTCGTCTCTTTTTGTTTTGTGTACCGGATACGCTTACTTGGTCAAAGAGAAGACCGATTGTCATTTCAAAATTGTTATAGCGTAAACTTAACAACTTTTGAGAATGTTTTATGCTAATTCATTGCAAAAATTGACCAAAAAAAAGTCAAATTTACTATATTTTTCTTTCTCAATTGAATTATGTTTTCAACAATTGAACAATACAACAAAAAGACAATATATAAGCAATGAGAATGAAATCGAATGGAAATAACAAGTCAGAAGATCAAACGATTAAATATCTCCTCAAAAATAGAAAAATATACAGATAAATAAATTCATGGGTATTCAAACGCAAGCAGAGAATAAAAGATCGTTTAGTATATGTAAATATATTTTCAGATTCCAACATGGCCACTGGTACGAGCAGAATATATTAAACTGTCTAGAAATCTGGAAACTAATTATTACTTTGATCGATAAGAAGCAGGTTTATCTGTGTCTCGTCCTACTAAATAAGTTCCACGTTTTCCAATTAAGTAAGATGAGCGTTTAGCTGCGAAATGATCACTATCAAGTAGTTCAACAGGATGCACAGTTTCAGCATCTAAATAGAAAGAAAAATCGATAGTGAATAGTTGACGATATTTGATGCCATTATAATAAGAAAGTTTTCAACTGAAAAGGTAAAAATATGTGAAAACAAAATGAGAAAATTAAAAAAGAAAACAATTACCAGTATCGTATATATCTTCATCCATATTTGCTCGTTTACCAACCCAATATCCATTTAAATGTTTTCTTTTTTGTAATAAATCTGTGAATGCTTCTCGATCTTTATTAGCCATTACAATTTTGATATTTAAAACTATTATTAATACAAGCATAATATACGTGAACAAGACTTGCATTATTTAATTTTTTTAGTTTCAATGGAATAATAATTAAAAGTAATACTAGAAATAAACAACAACAAACAACGAAATAATTGTCAAGTGAAGTAATCACCTAGCTAGAAAAAAATGTTTTTGGAAAAATATTTTGTGCGTTAAATGAAAAAAAATGACAAGTATTAAAAAATCAAAGTGTTTTATAGAACACCAGCGCAAAATTGAGATAGAAACCTGAAAACTAATTATTACTTTGATGGAACTAGTAAAAACAACTTTAGGATGAAAATTCTGTTAGTAGTACTATGTTTACCAGTAACATTCATCAGCCCATTCAACGAGTCTCGTAGCTAAAATGTATAGTAGAGTTGAAAACCGTTAGGCTTTTCGTATAATCGGTCAGATAGGGAGTTTGTTATTTTTTTCTATTACAAAATTGTTTCTAAGGCAATAAAATATCGATACTATTTGAAAACGTATAAGCTTAAGTATTCTCTGGCACGATATGAGAAAAAATTGTCCAACAAAGCCGACTCCATTTTTCTGGTGTGCTCAAGTAACAAATTCTTTTAGTGGAGTAGTTAGTTATCCTCAGGATCTTTTTTTCCTATTTATTGGATTATAATGCGTTAGGCATATCGTAATGCCTTGTAATATGTTAGCTTTTCTATTAAGTTATAACGCGATAAATTTAGAAAAAACATGTCTTTAATGCATTAGCATAACACGTTACGTGCCAAAAAATTGAAATTATAGCGTTCGTTATAAGGCATTTTTGTTAACGACTTTCTCATATTATTTACAACGCTATAAATTCGACTAACGCGCTAATAGTTACAAGGGATTACTAAATTCCTATCGCATTATAACGCATTAATCTGTAATGCATTGCATTATGCACGTTCTAACTCATTGTAAGGCTATAGAAGTTCTTCACACGTTTGAACGACATAAATTTATTGCATTACAATGCATTAACTGTTCAGGCTAACGCTATACGTGACAGTGGTAATAAGTATGCTGTGGGAGTTTATGTCCTAAGTCTCAAGTCAGTAACGTATATGTCTGATATAGTTAAAGTAATTTTTCTCGGACCAACTTTTCGAGAGGAATTGATTGGCAGTCTCAGAAAATTTTATGCAAATGTGTCCTTTACGAGAAAACCATGTATTTTCGTTTTGGATATTGTCTAACTCGTTGTAACGCATTAATACCTATCGTGTTACACTGCGTTTCATTTTCTTATTTCATTGCAATGAGATAGAAAAGAATAATGCATTGTAATCTATTAGATATTAACTCGTTGCAATATGATATGCATTATCTAATGAATTATAACGCTATAAAAGACTTTTTCAAATTTATGGCATTATAATTAGATAAAACATCTAAGGTATTATAACGCATTAATTTCTAACGCATTATACTGAAGCAGAAAGCTTAAACGCGTTATAATACATTAGAATCTAACGTATTATAAGGTGGTAGACAAATTTAATTGCGTTGTAACAAGATAAAAAATTGAAACGCATTATAATACTATAAATTTATAGAGTTGTAATACAATGAAAATTTTTATCCACTTACACCGCCATAAATTCCTGAAAAATAACTTTACAACGCGTTATAACACAACAGGCTACGTCTATTGCGTTGTAATGAGATAAATCTATAGCGTTCTAATACCATAATTTTAAAAAAGGCATGTTTTATAGCTTTATAATGCTATTTTAACTTACTACTTCGTAAAAAACTACGTAGTAGAAAAAAAAAGTTTTTTCTTAGGTTCTTTAATACGATTACAATCGTATTAAAACCCCCTCAGAAATGGGCGAGCAAACGGATTTCCGAGTATGAGTATTGAGGGTCGAGTGCGAGTAGGAGTAGGAGTATTTTCTGGAAAGTACTCGAGTTACTCTAGTAAAAACATTTTCTAAAGAAGCTAGTGATTCCGAAAAAATCGATTTTTTAATACGTGAAAAGGTCACCAGCTTTTTGGGAAGTACTCGAGTATTTTTTCGAACACTCTTTAAAAGAAGTCCTTAGTACGAGTACTAGGAATTTTGTACTCGAGTATACTCGTACTCGTCCGTCTCTGACCCCCTCCAAAACACTTTTTGTTGGCGTCTAAAGGCATGGAAAACCCCAACTTATGCTTGAATTTACCTAAGTTGAATCGAAATTTAATTTTCCTGGAGGAAGAACCCGACGAGGATCCATCGAAATACCCCTTAGTGTTAGAGTTAATTCAATGAGTTACGTTTTTCTCAAACGCATTACCAGACTACAGACTACGAAGAGTATAAATAATTTTCGTATTCATGTACGTTTCGATCTCTTCATTGCTTAAATCAAATCGCTATGAGTTTGGCAAGATAGAACAATGCTTAACTTTTGCGACCTCTTTTGGAACAGAACGATTGATCGAATAATTCACCAATCATTTAGAATCTTAAAATATCAGTTGTTACTACTACAACTGGTACGGAGCGTTTTAAATATAATAGTCAAGACGCAAACAGTAGCGTACAGCGTTCAGGATAACGTTATCTCACGTTGACACTTGTGTTTTGTGTTTAGTGCGTCTCAACTTAACGTAGGCATTTTTTTTCAATAGTCGCTAGACCAGGGTCAAGTATTAACTTTAGTTAACACTGCTTTTGTGGCGCATTTATATTATGGTGCCATTTATCTTGCTAATTTAATAATTGATTTACTTAAGACTGTCTGATACTTAATAAATACTGTATAAAGTGTTTTCAATAGAATCTTAGGACATACCAGCTTTCTGCATAAGCCCTGAAAATGAAAAATTTAACAGTTTTGAAACCATAACAAAGATAAACTTAAACAAACTTATAAAAGCAGTTTTACTACAAATACTCAGAAAGGAGAGATATTATCCTTTTACAGATTCGAACCCTTATTTAGCTAAACATATGGTAGCCAATTTAATTCCTGAATTAACAAAAGGAAACATGTCGATTATTTTTTTAAAACGTACCTTCCATAAGAGTACCTCTAGAAGCATAATATGCTCCTAATAATGTTGAATTAGACATATTACGTTGCCCCAGCTTCTAGTCGACAACCTGCGTTCATAAAAAGAGAAGTTCTTTTTATTGTTAGAAAAGTTTTTTATTCATTATTATCTTTTGCAGACTTTCATTTTTTCAAATTTGCCAGAATTAACCGTTTTGTGCTAGTGAAGGAATGTTCTCAGCTGTCTGCTTGTTTTGTTCCTGAAATACAGTTTACTCTTTCGACTTGTCATTCATTGAGATTTCTAGACACTCACCAGCAAACGGTCGAAGTAACAACTTCCGATTTTACAAAGAAGTCCAAGTCAACTGTTGCGTTCATTCGGGATTCTCGCCGCGGACAGCGTGGGTCATGACGCTACTGTCGTTTTTCCCGAAGTCGCTATAGGAATAGGACTGGATCAAGAGTCACGGCGCGAATGTAAGAATGCGCTAAAAACTATTAAGACTCTTGTCACAAGTGTAATAGTCCAGCCAAAAGTGACCGCGAAGTTAGATGTGGATGATCTTGTCGCCACAGATTGCTAGAAACAACAAGTTAGTTAAATACAGTTAGAACTTTTCAATATTTTATTCAGTTAAAGTACTCAACTTGTGCACGCTTCGCAGTTTTATAATTGTGCTAAAACAAAAATCTATCTCTGTTGAACTATTAGCTCGTCTCTGATATGTGAGACTGTCCATGTATAACATGTGACTGTTTTTGAAAACGATTCGCTGTATAACAAGTGCATAGTTTCTGATTGTTTTTGATCACATTGAAGAAATTGAAACTTTGACAGACAATTAGTGGTCAGGACAAAACTTTTTTGGCAGACAGGTTAAAAAACTTCTTAAATTGGGAGAATGACCACCCTTGCCCATCCTAATCGGAAACACTGAACATCTGTTGTCATTATGTGAAAATAGTTAAGTTGATTCGAATGTTTCTGATTACGTTATTAATTATCATATTTACATTTTTTTACACTAAACTTCATTTATCTTTCTTTTATGAATGTTTTGATTGAACGTTAAGTATGCTCTCTATTCATTTATAATTATCACGGCGTATTCAAATGATACATGTGCCTTGATTTATTCTAGTTACAAAAATGCCATCTTTTTCTTCTCCTTCTTCAATTAAACAGAGTGTTTGGTTTGCCTACGATCCACAATGTGCAACATATCTTCGTGAAAATTTAAGTAAAATGTCACCAGGTGATATTTGGTGTGCAGAATTTGATTCAAGTAACAGTAGTATTACTCCTCAATTAACATTGGATAAATATCTCGGTGATCCCGTTCGTCAATTGACATATAAACATTTTCCAACAGAAGAACCAAACATTAATGTTCCTGTATACGATAGTACAAAACCAGAAATGAATAAAATTGAATATTTAGAAAATTTTCTCTCAAATCAATGTTGGCGTAGTGCTATTGATTGGACAACAACCTATTTTCAACAACAAAAACAACAACAATCAGCAGAATATTATCATTTATGGTTTATACGATTTGCTTGTCTAGTAAAAATTCGTCATTTTCAAACAGTTGAAACTGAATTTGAATCGTTTGGTAATTTATATTCTCGTGCCTATGTTAATCAACAACACGGTGGTTCAATTCTACCATTTACCCTTCGTTTATTGTATGCTGAAATGCCCTATTACTCTGATAAACCTCATGATTCATTAGATCGTTTATTTCGTTTATTAATGATGTGCAATACAATTATAAGTGTAACAAATGATAAAAAACAAATAAATGATCTATGGTGTCATAGACGTCTGAGAGTATTATATTCAATATCAAATTGTTATGTTATTATGAAACGTATTGATTCTATTGTTGATATATTAGAGCAAATAGCAAAATCAGATAAAAAAAATCAACATTTTATTTATCTATTAATAGCTCGTGTTTTATTACAATTTGGCGATGAAATAAATGCCCAAAAAGCTATGGATGAATCGATTAAATTGAACACTGATGGTGATGATAATCAAGATTATCAATTACAATTATTGTTAACTAAAGGTCTATTTGCATTATTTAGAAATGATTATGATCTATGTAATGAAACATTTTTGGATGTTTTATTTCAAACAATGAATGTAAAAGAACAAACAATAGCGACAAATAATAATTGCGTATGTTTATTATACATGTCACAAATGAAAGAAGCATTAAGATTATTTGAATTTTTAATACATCCACAACCGCCAAAACAATTAGAAAAACAAACTATTCATGAATCGGTTATCTATAATATATGTACAATTTACGAATTAGAATCATTTCGATTTTTACAAAAGAAATGTGAATTATTGCATTATATTCATAAACATGTACCAGATGGATTTCAATTATCAGCATTAAAATTGCAAACACAACCAACACATTAAATATCTCCTATTTTTTTTTACTAAATAAAATAATATTGTTCTTATACGATAACAGATTATACCGCAGATATTAAGCAAGAAAAATCGCAGAATTCTAAAAACCCCATTTTTTCTCTTCTGTTCTAGGAGTATATGATGTGCTGAGTTGAAATTCAGTTAATTGCCAAAGAATATACAGTATTTTACTTCATAGTTAATCAACTATCGATTACATCTATTGTGTGTTGTGTGTTTAGGCTCATGAAGTAAACACAATACTTGGAAACATCATTAATATTAATGGGTGGGTCCAAAAAGAATTATAGTGTTAGTATTTAAATTTTTCTCCTCTTTCTTATAATTAATCGAATAAACTTTTTCACCAGAATATAGCGTGTTTAATTCTCTACAAAATATGTATTAACTGTTTTATTGTAAAATCCGAAGGTGGAAAATGAGATGAGAGATCTTATGAAGTATGAAAATACAGAAAAAATAATTAATTTTGCCACAGAGAGCTACATTTTTTCGAATGGTTCCACAAGCATCAGAGCGCGGGTTGAGTATACTTGTGTAGTTGCTCTCTCATGGCATGCAACAAAATTTGTTTTGAGTGGAAATATTCGACGCAAAGATCGACTCATCGGAAACCGGTTGAAAACAACAAATGATTTTGGCCTTATCTACGTGTGATAGATAACAAAGGAAGTTTTTTTTTCAAATTTTACCGATTCTACAATATAGACTAATCGTCTTCATAATGAAAAAAAGTTGAATCTGAACGGATCAAGTTTGACTAGACTATACTTGTTTTATCGTATGATATAAATTCCTGATAAAAAATCATCATTTTTAGAAAATTTTCAAGAATTTTCGTTACACTTACACTCTCAGTTCTAACTGTAAACAATTTTTAATCATCAATGGACGATAGAGCTTTCCAAGGCCTATACGATAGTTACTTCAGCTTTCTTTCTCCTACAAACGTTTAGCGAATGGAACTAAAAAGATGGTTGTTTAACTTATTTTTTCTGAATTTTCATACTTCATAAGATCTCTCATCTCATTTTCCACCTTCGGATTTTATAATAAAACAGTCAATACATATTTTGTAGAGAATTAAACACGCTATATTTTGGTGGAAAAGTTTATTCATTTAATTATAAGAAAGAAGAGAAAAATTTAAAATACTAGTACTGTAATTCCTTTTAGGCCACCCGTTATAAAAGTGTATTGAAACATGGTGTAGTTAAATTAGATAAATATTGTAAGGTAAAAACACCAAGCAATTGAATAAACATTGTTACAAAAAATTCAAGAAGTTTGAGCAGTGGAACTATTCTGTTTTCGATGAAAAGAATGGACCACTTTTGTATCTTATGTTTTAAGGACTTAAATATAATTTCAAAACTTCATGACGAAAGAGGAAGATTACCCCGGTTCTTACGGCTATCGTCACCGGTGTAGAATGCTGCCGAATGGCAGTTTCAATAGTCCGAGATCTTCCCTGCAGTTGACAAGCTTCTAATATGGTCATCCATATCGTTACTAGTCATCAACTGCATCTCTCGATAGAAGGCTAGTCTCACACCGAGTTAGTTCTTTTTGCCCAATTGTCTGAGATCCTCACATGCACTAGCGTTTCCGAAAGCTACGCGAACTAGTCGGCGTATTTTACGTTACAACGTACTAGGTATGCTGTCAGACGGGTAATCCGACACTAAGACATAAGTAACTTACGCAAGGTTATTCCCATCTGGACAATTTTGCCTTTCCCAGACCCTGGCCACGTGGATCCAGCAATTTATTTTCGACTCTAACGTGGACATTTATCATGGGCGCTCATGGACCTGCATGCGTTCAATGCATGAGTCCACATGGGAACCCATCCTCGACACATATGGATATGCTCGCCGAATACTTATTCTTCTAAGTCGATTTCTGTTCGTTTGACTTAGCTATAGCATCTGTTATGCAAGAGATTTTGTTCAGTTTGAGACCAAGAAAACCTCATTATCGGTCAGATATGAGAGATTTCATACGTCATTAAATACTCATAGTTTCATTTGCATTACCTTAAAAATTTTACTTTTCTTTAAATATCAGTTTTCCGTCAGCAACAGATGATTTATTAAGAAATCGATACAACTTGAAATAAAACTGTATTTCTATCGTTGTATTAATAGAAGCAAATATAACCTTTAACTTCCTTAGACATTAGAAGTTGAATAGATGATATGGATCGAATACTAATTTGGTGCACTAAGATAGTGTTATTTTTGTTCGTAGGTATAAACATTTAAGAAATCGAAAAGCAAAACAGGTCAATATTAGATAGAAACTAATATTGGTGCGTGTGTATGTGTGTTTATCGTCTTCTTTTAATACGTTGGATCATTGATCAAACGATCTGCTGGTAGTGCACGCCGTTTACGACCAATCAGATAAGAAGCACGTTTATCTGTGTCTCGTCCTACTAAATAAGTTCCACGTTTTCCAATTAAGTAAGATGCGCGTTTAGCTGCGAAATGATCATCATCAAGTAGTTCAACAGGATGCACAGTTTCAACATCTAAATAGAAAGAAAAATCTATAGTGAATAGTTGACGATATTTGATGCCATTATAATAAGAAAGTTTTCAACTGAAAAGGTAAAAATATGTGAAAAAACAATAGATGACTTTGATTAAAACGTTTTTTTAATGGAAGTACCGGAACTTTTATTAAAATGTCTCATACAAAATGGTTGTGACCTAGAGTTTTTGATGACACAAGAATTTCATGAAAGTTTTAAATGAACTTCCTTTTAATGAACGTTTTTTGAATGAAAAATTTTTCAATGAAACTTCGATATCCTAAAACAATGAGAAAATTAAAAAAGAAAACAATTACCAGTATCGTATATATCTTCATCCATATTTGCTCGTTTACCAACCCAATATCCATTTAAATGTTTTCTTTTTTGTAATAAATCTGTGAATGCTTCTCG